GGCGCAAAACACTTGCTTTTAGAAAATCAATTATTGGCTTCAAATATTGGTCTTCCTCCTGCTCTGACTTAATATCTATACCTGGTTCCACTTCACCATCATCGACTCCTTCAGTCACTTTGACTTCAGCTTGATGGCACCTGGTTAGTTCAACCTCCTATTTAATACGTCCCAGAATTTGGCCTTTGTTGTTCCCAAAAGTCATTTTATCAAAATTAACTGCACATTTCCTCGGTAGTAAGTAGTCCAACCTTAGTATGCATGGGTCTTCAACGTCAGCCAAGTATACTTTGTGTCTGTCCTTTATGCTCATGTGCTCAGTAGTTACCCACACTGGTCCCAACAACCTTGTATAATGTCCTGTCACACCACAGAGCTTCTGGCACTCCTTTGTGATCTAGCACCTTGATACTCACAAGGGTTTGCTGAGATGCACAATCTATGACAAAGTTGCACTTTTGGCCATCCAGCTTTCCTGTCATTTAGATATTGTGTGTGCTTGCCATTTTACACTTAGCTGTTGGGACTTTCACAATGGGGGTTGGTGGGCATCCCTAAACACCAACCACTACTGATTGCCCCAAAGCTGACTTATTTGTAGTATTCTTCTTATACAAGCTCCTCATATGTCCTTGCTTTCCACAGTTCCAACAACTTTTCTGGGTAACAGCCTTTCTTGCTGTGGCATCTCTCCTCTGTTGAAGTTGTCAGCATTGACCTCTCTAGTGCCAGCATAGTCCCTCAAACCTCTCTGAAAGCTGACATTTTCTGGCCTTGAATCCCGATGACTGTACCAACCTTGGTACCTCTGTGCTGGACTTAATGTAGGATTCGAATTCAATAGTTCTGGCCATTGCATCCTGCACAGTAGATGGGTGTGCTTGCTTTACTTGTATCTTCAGTTGTGGACTGTCCAAGGCATCTACGAACTGATCCCTCAGCAACAACTTGAGGAGATCGGGTGGTGCAGTTTGGTAGGCTTTGTGTGCCATACTTTTCAAATCCTGTGCCAGCTCTTGCAGGCTCTCCCCTTTAGCACAGACTCTTGTCCTAAACCTAGCCCTATAGACTTCAGACTGATTTTGAGTTCCATACCTGAGCTCTAGAGCTGTGCCTGTCATCTGCTGATATATCCTCCATCCATCCATTAATTTCTGCCACAAGCTCAAATTGTGTTCTAAATACTTCTCATTGTGCCTTCCTATCGAATTCCTGTGGCTTCCTTCATACTAGATCACCCCTATTGCTGACACTTTTGTTTGGAATATGACTTCTGGCAGGACTGATGATGTCTGCATTAGGGTTTAGGTGCTGGGTCTGGAAGGGGCTTCCTGTAGTCTGGGTTTGATTAGGTCCATGGTTAATATATCCTCCCTGTGTAAAGGACAGTAAATCGTCATTTAATGTATTTAATTCACTTTGAAATTTACTAATATTTTCCATTTATATTTCATGTTTCCTTTCTTGTTCCAGTTGCCACTAGTGCTGGTTTCCTGCCACTGCTGTGGTTTTTCTTCTTGTTCATTTCTTTTTCCTCCAACAACTGTTGTAATCTCTCTTCTTGTTTTTTCTCGTTCTTCTTGTTTCTTTTCTTTTCCTCCAACAACTGTTGTAATCTCTCTTCTTGTTTTTTCTCGTTCTTCTTGTTTCTTTTCTTTTTTCTCCAACAACTCTTGTAATCTCTCTTCTTGTTTATTTCTCGTTCTTCTTGTTTCTTTTGCCGTTCTTGTATTGTTGCCATCAAATCTGCTAAGTCGTAGTTTGATTTGCCACTTCTCGTTTCCATCTCTTTTTTTTTTCTCTTTTCCATCCCACTTCTGACCACAATTTGTTAGGTGTCTGCTCATTTGTTAATTTCCGGTATATATTATTTCTGAGGAACTTCAGCGACAGAAGTCATTTTCTAATTAAAACTAGTTTATTCTTTCTGGTTACAAATTTTGTAATACACTTAATTTCCACAGTTACTTTAAACTTAACAACCTTTTGTAACACACCCTATAAATCACAGTGATTCCCACTGTTACGTCTCCGTGTGTTAATTAATTTTCCGTTACTTCGTTCCGAGGAAACTTAAGCGACACAAGTTCTTTACTTAATAAAACTGGTTTATTCTTTCCGAATACAACTTTACCGATACACTTATTCTCAACAGTCGCGTTATA